TACGCATCTCTCTAGAATGACCTGGTAGGTTTTCGGCCACTTTCATCAGCTCTGGGGCAAGGGAAGTGATGCACATTACAGCTCTTTTTCCTTACCTCACTTAGTTGAGAGTTACCACTGGCACTGACATGCAATTTAAGGATCCAGAGGCAGTGCTCCCTCTGTGTTTACTGGCAGGCAGAGGGAATGTGGTTTAATGGAACAGACTGAGGGTGAAGTGTGATGTTTTTCTTTACCCTGCAACTAAAGGAGGGGAGTTTTGGGTGTCTGGTACAGGATCACGTTCATAACTATAAAAGCTGGATGTATAAGTCCCAAGCAGTCCAGGTTTCCTCTGGGACAGAAACAGCACATGTTCTCTGACATCAGTGGTGATGCTTTGGGGCTCTCTACAGCAAAGGAGCATGCAAAAGCATCCTTCAGTCAAATAGGCAACTCCCTGGACCAAATGAAACCACAGTGCTAGGCCTACACTAACAAGCTTGCTCTCTTGAGAGATGCCAGCACCACAATAATAAAGCACCCGCAAAAGAGCAAGCTTCCAGGCACATACACCCAGCACTGCGCTAAGGTACCTACATTTCACCTGCTTCATGATGTGCTGTGCCTTGATGGGTGGATATAGCCCACACACTCATCTCTCTAGCACAGTGGTTTTACAAACGACTTAAAATGTCTTGCTTTTGATGACAAGGTTCTTTGGGTGAATCTGATATCTTTTATTAGACCAATAAAAGATATCAGATTCACCCAAAGAACCTTGTCTGCCTATGTCCTTAAGCCAACACAGTGACAACCTGCACCCCTGTTGCATTTGATGAGTAACTTTTAGCTTCTTTCCCAGCCTGTGAAGAGCGTTTCACTGCCTGTCTTGCAAGACCTGGGAACTCTCCTTCTGTTCCACCAAGAGTCTTCAAGTGAATCTCATCACCTGCCTTTCACCTTGATGTTTCTCCTTGTGTTTGAGCTACTCCTGTTTATTCAGCTGCTGATCATTCATAACAGGGTGCTTCTGGGCCAGAGTTCAATGGACACAGGCAGCTTTTTAAAACTGCAGATTTGTTTGTATATGAAATTAAGACTTTTCCCCCTTAAAACTTATCTTTAGGTGTACAGGGCCCTTTGTGCTACCATTCTAACCTCCCCCCCTCTAGCACTTATAAGCCATCTCTTTCTTGCGTTTCTGGCACACACACCAGCAAAGAAGCTGATCCTGTGCAAATAAAAGTGTCATGCATGTACCACAGCATTCTCAAATAGACCCTGCATAAGGGAGCCCTGCAAAGGGAAAAAATCATCCATTCTCTTGGATTTATTGACACACTGGAAGTAGGCTTCATCTCTCTATTTCTGCAAAGATTCTCGTTGCAGTCCTGTTGGCCAAACGTGCATGATTGCTCCTACTGCGCAAATAGAGGGAACTGGCAGACCTAAGGCTCACAGCACACTTCTCATCTCCTAGTCCTACTAACATTGTGCAGTGTTGCTTCATTTAGAGCAGCGTTCAGCGTAATGCACCTAAAAGTGTTGCTTACCAGATGCAATACTGGCTTGGGTCTCAGGACACCTGGGTTATATTCCCATCTCTGCCACTAGGCTGCTTGATGACTTTAGGTAAATGATTTCACCTTGCTGTGCCTCAGCTTCTCCTGCTATGAAATGGGGATAATGGCAACACTGACCACCTTTGTCCAATGTTTTCAGAAGTACTGATGAAAAATGCTTGTGGGCTACATATTCTTATGGTGATCTACTTCATCGCTCTGGGCTGGATCCCATTTCTGTTTAAATCAAAAGCAAAACATCATTTAAATGGGAGACCAAGTAAAATAAGGGTTAAAATGATTGTGCAATGCATGAGCGGTCCCCTTTGGGTCTTGGACACATTGGCTGCTTTATAGCATGCAGTGTTCCATAACCGGACTAAATCAGACATGAAAAACACCCTCTTCCAAATGAAACTATAGCTGTTGGACAAATTATGGGGATGTACCCAAGTTTAAGACTGATGAGGCTAAGGCGGTTAATACTCATACTCTTGTGAAGAAGGAGCTGTGGGTTCTTTAACAGCTCCCCGGAAACCTGCATTTCTAGATTTCATCTAGGAGCCAGGATGTTGCCCAGCCACTTTACTGACTCAGAGGAAAGAGTGCCACCTAGTGCAACCCTGTTCCTGTAGCACCTGTGTCCCATGGAGGTACCCCCCCATGTAAAACACATGACCTTGCAGTTCAGTAGCAACAAAGTGCCATGGTAAAAGATGCCAGCTGCCTACACTTTCCATAGCATGTATAAGAACAATCTCTACTTTTATCCTTGAAGATTTCTATCATGGGAGTGTTTCTACTTTAGTACCCAGATACACAGCACACGGTACCTAATCGGCCCTCCAGTTTCCTCACATTCACATACACAGCCTCTGCAAATACTTTCAGAGACTACACTGAGCACAAGGTGACAAAGTTGCTAAGGTGGCTGGAGAGATATGCCCCTAATCATAACCATCTCTACAACCAAGTCCACTGTGACAGAGATCAGTCTCCTCCACCCTGACTGGCAGTACTGTACTCTGAGAACTGTAACTCTCCAGTGAGCCAATTGCAGGGATTTTGTGATGTGGGTGAATTAGAGGAGGGCATGTGGTCTCTAAGGATCTCAGGCTGCTTTACAAACTTCATTGCTAGGTAAGTTAGTAGCATGGACAATTTCCTGGCAGACAGAGAGGAAGTCAGCAAGCCACCTAAGATCATGCCTGTAGATCAGAGCATCAAACCAATGGACCCAGCTCATCCTTGTGTCCGCCTTCTCAGGAGGGAACATGAGTTGCACCAAAGCAAGAGAAAACCCAGGTCCTCATCCATAACCTGAACGCCACAATAGAGGGACACAAATTAGCAGTTAGATTTCATAGCACTGACTTGGGGAAAGGAGCAGGCTTTACAACTGACTACAAAATACAGAAGAATGCATGATGATCTGGCCATGAAAAGTACAACTGACTCATGTTTTATTTTATTTGTAACGGTGCATGCCAAATGTCTGTGCAAGCTAGCCGTCTCACTAGGACTGTGAGGGCTACATACCTTTCACATATACACGGAGCCAGAGACAGAGATAGAGAGGAGTCTCGTGGGTGTCTGGGTGCTGTTGGCATGAATAAATAAACCTCTTTGTAAAAGTGTCTCCTGCCTCAGTGAACTGAACCCACAACGCAAAAATTGCCATGGGAACTAGAACAAATGATGTCGCAATCTTACATCCCATCAAATTCTTACTGTGCATCTGTATTACCCCACAACTCCAGTCCTGCCCTAGTCAGCAAAGATTTCATAATGCAGGCAGATGTCTAAGATGGACTAAGGATCTGGTTGCACTGAAGAACTTCAGTGTAAGCTAGGCATATCTGGGAGAGAGTTTTATACTGATAGCTCAGGTACTGCTAGCCACACAGCTGTGCTAGCATAGAGCTCATCCCAAGCTGCACAGCACACCTGAGAAGTTGTGCAAGTGCTGACCCACAGTGCCGAACTCTATGGTTGCAGCTGCTCTGGTACCAGGACCCATGCTAGCCAGGTTATGTTTATGATGACCGTACCAAACTAGTTTTCAGGACTGGCTTTTAGTTCTCTTTGACTGCCATACCCAAACAGCCAGGACTGCAAAGGGAAACTGGCACAAAAGCTTGCTGGTTGGTTGCCCAATGTAAAAGCTTGCTGCAGAGGGAAGTGGATATTACTTGTCTTTTGTACCAACCCTTGAGGAAGCCAGCTGAAAAAAGAACAATCCTGATGAGTTGCAGTTGGCCCACAGCTCCAGAAAAGACTAACAGAAGGGGAAATGAATGAATCTTGGCTTCCCTTTATGCATTACTTACAAATCTGTACTATTGTGAAAGAGCCTGCAGCTTTAAGAACTCCCTGTTATGAAACAGGGGACATCACTGAAAGTGGGAGCCTATAAAAGCTGCAGGACCTTCAGCAGTGCATTTAGGGTCTTTTTTTATTGACCCTGTGATGTCTAAACTTTGAAGGTGCATTTTGCCATGTTTCCTCGTTTTGCACCACAAGAAGTCAGGTTTTTATAAACCAAAAGTGAGAGAATCTCATGCCAGGAACTAAGGCTTCAGGAAAGTTGGTAAGTGTTGAAACAGCACTAAAATCTAAAAAAAGCTTAACCATGGACAGAAGATGAATGGAGAACAGGCAAACAGTGTTTTCAGTTATAAGCAGAAAGCTATACAATAGGAGGAACTCACCAAAAAGGGATTTTCTGCTCAATCTGATCAAGTTAATGCCTTTCTTCCTAAAACAAGTGATTGCTCCTCTCACATCTGTGGCCAGTGGAAGGTGTATCACAGCATATACAGCAAAGAACTATACTGATAGTCAACCAAAATCAGGAGCTCCTTACTTAAGCATGGGAGTTCATCTAAGTAAGGGCAGACTGGAGGTGTGCCTAAACTGCAAGCTACTTGTAGGTTCAGATTTGCATGCATATTTTACCCTGACTCCTCCTTATACCCTTGCCCAGAGGTAAGAATGTCCAGAGCTTTCAAGCACTTCTCCATTTCCAGTAAATGCTGCATTACGCCTATACCCATCCCTTTACCTGTATGCTTTGCAGCAGGGCTGTAGTGTGATAGCAAGCAACATGCTCGTGTCCAGGCTGTTCTCTACTGGCATTCCCACAATCCCATGGACCAGCATCCTCTGGCTCTTCTGCATTCTTCCTACTTACCTTCTTCTCACCAGAAACTGTATGGCACTTAACATCACTGTGCTTTGTCTTTAATCCTTTATTTTCCTAGCAGGAAGAAAGTTGCCCTGTCAACATGCATCTAGGTGGCTAGAGGAGCATTCACAAGGAGATCATGATTTTAATATATGCCACTGTAATGCCAACTCAAAGTAGTTTACTGGTGAGTATTTCTCAGGCTGCTTGGAGCAAAGCAAGGACCTTACACAGTAATACTTCAAGGCTGAGGTTGTTAAATAGAGGTGCAGCAATGCACCTGCTCCATTGGAGTTCAAGTACTGACCTGCTGCCTCCTACAACAGGGTCTTGTCTATAGATGCAAGAACTGAGAGCTCCAGAGGAATGAAAGGATGAGATTGGAGATCAGCTTCTGGTTCATCAGGAACTGCCTGCTGAGCCGATTGTTGCAGTGAGTGTCCTGGGGAAATCTCAGAGGAGCTGTTCTGTGGGGGAAAAAAACCAAACTTGATCATCTCTGCAGGGCTGGAGCCAGTGGCACCAGCACTTCTTCACATCCACTTTCCTATCCCAGCCCTTCTTTCCTCAGCCAGGCATATTCAAAGAGTGGGGCCAAGTAGAGAGGAAAAAAATTCACTAGGCATAGACCAAGGTCCAGGTGTTTCAGAGTCCTGCCTTCATCATGAAAACTATTTCATGGTCACAAGTCTTCCTTTACCAGTTTTATGTAACAGTTATACAACTTCAACACATGAGCTGCTTGCGAATAGGTTGCAAGAATGTGCTGCTTAGTAGTTACAGCTTTGCTGAAAAGAAGTGGCCATAGATTACTGTTTTTCAAGACCCATATTCTTCCAGAATTGTCCCCACTGCTGAGAGAGAGGGCTTGCAAGTTTGTTGTGCAGTTCTAGTTGATCAGGCAGTTAAGAGTAGGGCAAACTTTGCAGATCCACCCCTGCCAATAGCTAGACACTCCTGGGCTAGGGACAGAAGTTGCACATAAACCAGTTTCAGTGATCAGAAACTGGTTTAAACCTGTAACAGAACAGAAGTTCAGTGCACATAAACCAGTTTCAAAATGGCCAAAACTGGTTTAAGATAAACCTGATTGAATGTAGTATCAGACTTAACTGATTTGGGTCCAGCTGGTTTATGGATCTTCTGTCCCACACCCCTTCCTGATTTAAGTTAAACCCAAGTCCCACAGCATCCCAGCATGGTTTTCAGCCCTGGGCTGGGTTGGGCAGTCTGCTCCAAAGACCAGGGCTGGCCCTGCTCCTCTCCTCCCTAGTGGGATCTCCAGTTGACTGAGAAGGAGGTGGAGACTGCAGCTGGGAGAGAGCAGCATCTGCCCGGCTCCCCCCGCCCTACCCGCCCTTGCCACTCACTGCTCAAGCAGGGATTCCCCACTCCCACCCCTCTCCCATGCCAGGGATCCCAGTGGCACAGACCCCAGCCACTATCTAGCCATGTCCCCCCCCCCCATGCTAGCTAATGCTGAGGTGTGTGTGTGTGTCCAATTTCACTGGAACAAAGGCAGACAGAACAGTGTCCACTTGGGGCTAGAAGCCAGTGGCTTGCAAATGTGCCCTGCAGATAAGAAGAGCTTGAAACTAATGAGAGAGATGTGTTTCTTTCTTTTGTAGGGCATGATGGGCTGATAAGCTTTGTGTTCTGATAAGCTCCCTGCTGGCCTGCTTGCTTCAAAGCCCACACTCTATCAGTATTCAACAGGGGACAGAAAGAGGTTTGAGAAATGACCTGGTTTGCAATGAATGCAACCTGGGAGTGCTGTCAGTTTGCTGCAGACAGTATGAAGAAGCGGGGAGAGGGAGATTGAAAAGCTCAGTATCATCAACAGATGCATGCACTGCACACAAGCAGTCCTCCCTCCCCCCCTTCCCCCTTGCCGCAAAGTACAATGAGCCCCGCTCATCATACTTTTTTCATGTCAGTTGTACACTTTTAAAAGGATCCCTTCAAACTGCCAACAGGAAGCTGGTCTGACAGCACTGGCCTTGTGGTTCCCCTGGACATATTTAATGAAATGATGTTTTGTGTGTAGCATTGATTGTTCTCTTATTTGCAAACAAATGAACAGTCAAGCTTGTGCCAGACCGTTTTATTGAAGCATCAATAAAACACAAATTTACAAGGCTAAATGAGAGTCTCTCATGTGGCCAAGAACAGTTTTAGAGTTAGACTGATGGCAGACAAAGGTAAAAGCTTTTGATTTTATGGGCATTCTCGGATAAATGGGTCCACCACATTCCCTAAAAATTACAGCAGTCCCCTTCCCAGGTGCACTCCTCAAATTCTAATTGAAATCTAGAAATTAGCTTACAGCTTATCCCATGGGAAAGCACAGTCCAGAAAGGAGCACATGTGTTTGCAGTCAATTCCTCATTAACTGTCACCACATGTGGTCATGATGCAAACCCATATGACTTTCCTGGTTTCCCTTGAACCTGTGCCAGTGTTTATAAGGGCACTGTCTGGTTGTGTAACCTGGTAAAGGTCTATGCCATATGAAGGTACCAACACTTGCCTTTAGCTTCAGACATTATGGTTGTGACCTACTGTGCCCTGCAGACACACACACATAGGCAATGCCATCTCGTTTTCAGACTGCTAAATGCACAGTCTACCACTACCGTACTGCTGCTCAGAGTAGCTGAGTTTTATATGGAGTGCCCTATTATCAGGGTATGGATTTGGAGGCGCTTTCCTACCTCGTTCATCACAGTTTGCCAACAGTGGGCACTAATGTGCCATTAATACCCATCTGGGTGTTTCAGAGTCCTGCCTTCATCATGAAAACTATATCATGGTCATTAGAGTGGGCACTAATATGCCATTAATAAGGAGGAAAGAGAGTCCTAGGTTGTCCAGAAACTACATCTCCCTGCTACCCTGTTATGAGTATGGGCAAGGCATATAACACCAATGATGTTCATTAACTTGCACTGTAGTTCACCATATTCACTGGCTTCCTTAGCAGGGCAAGCCATAGACATGTATGTTTAGTCTGGTCCAGTTTGGGAACCCCCTTCTTAGAGCTCCAGCTCCTATGTCAGGCACATTCTTATGCGTAAACTGCTGTAAGAACCTCATCTCAACCTCTGCCACCAACTACTGATTTGCTAGCACCAAATGGGTTAGCTGTGGCCTCCAGAGGTGATCAGTGCATCAGGAATAGTTGTTCACCAGGGCTCCCCAAGGGATAACAAGGTCTAACGGCCACAGACTCCTAGAAGGCCGATTTAGACTGAACATAAGGAAGAACTTCTTGACAGTCCAAGTGTCCAGAGTCTGGAACAAACCTCCCCCCAGAGGTGGTGCAAGCATCTACTCTGGACTCATCCAAAAGGCATTTGGATGTTTATCTTGCTAGGGTCATTTGATTCCAGCAGACTTCCAGCTTATGGCATGGGGGCTGGACTTGATAATCTCGCAAGGTCCCTTCCAGCCCCTAATGGCTATGAAATCTATGAAATTCTTCTGTACTGGTATGTGTCCCCCAAAACAAGTACTGCTGTGCCAGAGGGTCCAGCAAGCTCCTCATACAGCTCCATGAAGCTCTGCCTTGTTGCAAAGAAATTGTGCAGTCACTGCTAGTCATCCCAGATCTGCAGGGGGAACTATTCATCTACAAGTGGGAACTGAATGGCAACTGAAGTCCTCACCATATTTGTCTCATCTTGCATGAATACATCCCCCTTACCCTGAAGCTCAGTGCTTTTCCACATTTCAGGGGACCCATGGGCAACTGGTGCCACCTTAGTCCGGGGGGGAGAACATGTGCCCCCAGTGCGACCAGTCTCACTGCCTGGGGGGAGTTCCCCCACCGCCGATTGCTGCAGCCACTTCCAGGAGTGGCTGTAGCGATTGGCTGGCACTTGCAAGGGGGTCACTGGTGCTCCCGCCTGCCTCCTCTGCCCATCGCCTAAGCAGCAGGCAAGCGCAGCTGGTCAAGGGGTGCACCAGCACTCTCAGAGGGTGCACGTGCACCACTGTGCACCCACTATGCGTCACCACTGAGGGGACCTGAAAGCCACTGAACATCTCTTGAAGCACTGATCCCACAGCATGAACAACTGTCCTGCAATGAGACATGCTGTTTAGCCCACTGGTACAAATGCATGTCCCAAACCCCCTCATTTGATGACAGGCTAAAATAGGGGCCATGAAAGAAATGAAGAAGTTGTTCTACAGAGCACCACCAGCAAATTCTTAGAAAAGCTATACTCTGTGCCACTAGGAATCAGGGCTGTCCCCCAAGAACACACATCTGGATGTATGGGAATGAAAGTGTGGAGCCAAGTACCCAGGACTATGTAGACTATGTGATGTGAGGTAGGTTCGCACAGCTCACCAGCTGTGGATGCACAATATTGGGTAGACATATCCTAAGCAGGATACCAGGATTTGACTCACTGTCTTTGTGTCAAAATAGCAGATGTCCTATTTCTCTTTTCTTACCATAGTACTTCCCCTTACTTTCTTTAACAAGTTCATAATGTACTATCCCTGCTACTAAATAGTAGTTTTCAACAATCAGTCACCAAGTAATCTTGTATTGCCTTCTTAGAGCAGTCAAATGAAATCAATCAGTCTTTCGTAGAAGCTGTAGACTTTTCATGGCAATCATTTGGTCCCTGAGGTCTGACCTTATGTGAGAGAGAGGATTTTGATACATTATGGGCGCATCTACGTATATTAATGCAGCATTAGCCAGCAAGCAGCTCCCACTCTGTAGCACCCTCGTACCCCAGCCAGCCCCATTAATGTCTCCATATGCATTTTGCCACATGTAACTACTCCACTGTAGGATAGTACTCATAACGGGCAGTACTATACAGCAGAGTTAATTATCGTACTGCAGCTTAATAGCACCGCACATGTAGATGGTGTTGTTTTACTGTGGGGCTAAGTAATTAGTCAGCTCCACAGTAAAGCGTCTTGTGTAGATGCACCCTGGACCTGCCTGATTTGGCCATAGGAGCATGGAGTATATAGGAGTATATAGTATATAGGCCATGGAACCAAAATTTAAATCCTCTTCCAATATCAATTAATCCTCCCTAAATCCTTCATTAACAGATTTGTCCTCTTCCTTTCCCCTTTTTCCTCCTACAGGACCTAAAATTATCTCCATGTAGCACAGGGTTATGAATGAAATAATTGCCCCCTTTCTTTCCTGCCTGCCCTGCCAATGGATCATTCCCTCTCAGCAGTGGTTTCCTTACATACACCCCTCACCATATGCTTCCTGTAGCCCAGCTGTCAGCAGGAAGCACAATTCCTTTTCTTTTCTCAGTAGACCTAGAGACTGAATGAAAGGACCAGAGGCAGTTTCCGTTGATTTGCGGTTTGCAGTATGTGGGGCATGTCATCAGAAGAACTGTTGTTCTCGTCTCCTGACAGCATCTTTCTGTGGTCACACTTTTTGGAAGTGTCTGCTAGACCTGCCTCCCCCATCATTTCGTGGCAGCCTAGTCTGCTGCTTCTTCGTTGTCATTACACTGGCCGCACTCCGAATGGGATATGGCATGTTCTACAGTACAGCAAACTGTGCACATTCCTGACGAGCAAATTGAGGTTGGTTTTCTGTAACTGCGAATGCTGGAATCCCATGCCAGACAGACTGTGCTGCACAGCGTTCATTGATGGCAGCTGCTGCTGTACCTGAAGGATCTGTTTCACTGTAATCAGCCGTCATATGGTATTCCTGATCCCCCACCATAAACAAATCCAAGCACAGCTTTTTAAATACCCAGCTGACCTTAAAATAAGTCTTGAGTGTTGCCTAGTCCACTGGACTATAGCAGAGTCCCCCAAGACAGAAGATGCATTGGGTGGGCCATTTGATTTTAGAATGGATGAAAGAGCATACAGTACAGACCAGACCCACACTGCCATGGTGCAGGCTAAGTGGTCAAACAGGTCTCTTCCATCTCTTGTTCCTATGATGCTCTGTAGATGCTGGCCCAGATTGGTGCACCCGTTTTTCTGATCTGAGTGCCAACATCCCTGCCCTTTTACCATCAGTAAAACACAGGACATTTTAAGCCATGAGGAAACATGCTCAGATTCCAGTATAAATGGAGACTGTCATTTGTTTCATCACTTGTAGTACAGTAGCTGGGGACCATACAAGAGTTGCAGTTTGAATCTTTCTTATCATTGGTGATAGGGATGAATGGCTGAAAGCATCATTGGAGACCTCACTAAAAAGTAAAAATGGGTTAAAGCCAACCATCCAGATCTGCTTCCAACCCATTTATATAATTGTAATAAACTATCTTACAAAGCACTGATAATCTTGATATGGTGGTGAATGTTCCCAGATCACACTGAAATTAATGCATTATACTGAGCATACATTTGGTCTGCAATTTTTTGATCAATCTATTCAAGTGTGAAGGGCTGGTGAAGAGCCTTACGGGCACGGGGAAACAAATCTCTTCATCTGTGGGTTGGGTAGCTTGCACACCTGCCCGGACATCAAAACTTTGCAACTCCTCTCTGCCTGTCTGGAGGCTTGACTAGAGTGATTGCTGAAACAACAACCAATCCCCACTTTCACTTCCAAGAGTGACACCAGACAGAGCAGCATCACCTTGCAAGGTTACTCCTGGAATCAGATTAAACGTCTTATGCAGTGCCTTTAAAACTGAAGGAAAAGGAGATGAAGCCATTCTTCCAAATGCTGTAGCATTCAGTTCAGTAAAGCACTAGCAGCCATTTTACTGGGAGTATTTGCAACAGTATAAAGTTTGGGACCAGAAATTTAGAGGTGCATGAAAAAGATATGCAGAGGACCTGTCAAATGTCTGGCTATTTGTGTGTGCATTAAAAAAATGCATGCACAGAATTTGCATGCCTATTTTCCATAATTGCATACACACATTTCCGTAACTGCTTAGGGAGGCAAACCCTCAGATGAGGGAGATCTGGTTAAATATCTCCTACAGCTCAGTGCTGTTTCCAACTATCCAGCCTGAATCACACTCTTTATGAGCTGTCTAGCCACTCACATATGATCAACACCGATTATTAGATAAAAAGAGGCGTGCTATTTTCTTTGCACCAATTAGTAAGAGTTTGACTTGGCACTGAGCCCCACAAAACTGGTCATGGTGAAGTCATTAGCTCCCATTCATGTGCACACCACATGTTCTCCCCTAACTGTTCTCATTGTAACTTAGCATCAGCTGCTTAAGTACATGATCAATTAAAAACAGGGAAGCAGGAAGGATTATTAATCCCTAGGAAAACTTTTGCTGGCCAAAGGCATCTTTTGCTAGATAGTACACAACACAGTAGAACATACAATGGGCTACTGATGTACGTTCCAGCGCTACATTATACAACTACAGGAACTGTCACAATGATGAAAACTGGTCTGGGCCTGTAGCCTGTCTCTGACAGTGTCCAAGGCTTAACCAAATTCCAGATGGATTATAGTAGGCAACTGTAGAACACCTCTATATTGACTGTCAGTTATTGGTTGGCTAGGTTGTGGGGGTATCGTGCACAAATGAATGCAGTTGATGCTATTACCTAGGATTACATGCATCAGAAGCAACACTAGAAATCACCTCTAGAAGCTATGTAAAACCAGTACAGACTCTGCAGCACCAGTGCAGTGTATTGCCTATAAGTCTGCACTCATGCCCCTAATGCACTTACAGCACTCTGCAGCTCAGCAGGCTGCTGCATGGGTTCACTGCTACTTTGACTCACTGGAAATATCTGTCTTCAGTTGACCTACCCTGGTATGATACGCAGCTGAGAGTTCAGAGTTGTCAGCAGCACCACAAGCTGCAGACAGGCCAGCTACTGATCTCTGCAAGAAACAAGCTGGTCATGCAGAAGTGTTCTGCAGATAATTCATTGGTCACTATGCATCCCTTCCATTTAGGGACCGAAATAAAGTGATAACCCAGATGTCATCGAGCAGTGTTGTCTATCTTACCAGGATGTTGTGAAGCCTTTATAAATTCTGATAATTCAGTGACAGAAACAGGCCTGGAACAACGATCTATCTATAAATAAACTTGATTTGTTCTGAAAGCACTTAACACAGGTCAGCGATACCATGCTCAGTGTGCATATGGGGAAAATGGGGCAAGTCACTTCCTCTCTTGGTGCCTGAGGTTATCCAACAGGTCAATGCTGAGGCTGGGCTTTGAAGCCAGGCGTGCCAAATCTCAGTCCTGTGTCCTCTTTGCCAGGACACTTAATCATGTACCATGGATCCACCACTCAAACACACAAAGGCATATTTCTGAAGGGCATGCAGAACTAGTTAGGCCAGTAGAAATAGCAGAGATTCATGCAAATATGTGAACACTCAGTCATGTACATCTTATCATGACCAAGGCAGCCCTGGGCACATCATCTCAGGTAAAGATCAGAAAGCAGAGCACTTTGGCCTTCCTTTCTTCTCTTGCTGGGATGTTATGAAGTAGCTAAACACAGGGGCTGATGACAAGACTAATGAGAGACAGCAATACAGGCAGTCCTTGGACTTACGACACAAATGGTTCCTTCCCAAGGGAAGTAACACAGTGCCCTGGCACGCTTCACTCTGTATCAAGGCAGGGATCTATAAGCCAAGACATGACAGCAGAGGGAAGAAAGGAAACACCCCAGCACAGAACGTACCTGGGAATTAAAAATCCATCCCATGATGGGAATGCCAAAATCCTTTAAGGAGTGCAATGGTGGCCTCTACTGGTCCTTGCCAGAGCTGTCTTTTCTCTTTTGATTCCTCTTTCCCCTGACCTGTACCCAAGTGAGTTACTTGCCCTACTTGTGAGGGGTGGTAGAACCAATGCCTTCCTTTCCAGAATGAAAAGGCTTGGCTGAGCGAGGCGAGTCAGCCTGCTTGCGATCTCACCACCAATCCAAGGCAGAGCTAGGACTGCAACCCACGCTTCCTCAAGTCCTTCTTCTGTAGCGAGGTCACAGCACTACTCCACCGTCCACTGTCTCTAAGCTTCATGGAAAGCAGCAGTATTGCTTGACTCAGTAGGAAGTCTGGCAAAAGGATGCTGGGGCACAGACCAGGCATTCAGTCCTTCCCGCTGTCCTAAGCCCTCCTCTGCTAATAACTCTTCCAATGGCCTCAGACATTATCAACACCACAGTTCCCATCTATGGTATGGCTTTGATGATGCTGGCCTGTCTGAGAGTGCAGAGTGATTTTCAGAGCACCAAGTATTGTTGGGTACCCAGAATGGGGAGTGGGGAAATGTGTTGGTACATTTGAGACAAACTCCTAAATACTAATCTGAACTTCACCTCTGGCACTGAGCGCTTGAGTGCAAGCTCCAGTCAAACATCTGGAGCCTTTCATGTTGCTTCCATGGGGGCTCCAACTGCTCACAAGCCTGCAAAAGAAGAGATGGAGGCAGATTAAATGGAATGAGCAAGTTTTACAGAAAGCTAACCTGCAAAATCCTCACTCTCATGCTTTCTTCCCTTTCCGCAGCCCTCCCCTCTTAGCTTTTAAAGACCTACACATACAAGACATGATGAAACAGCTGGTTTTCCCCTGTTCTCCAACACCCAATTCCTGCTCATCTCTTAGTGCTCTGCAAACCTTCATTACCTAAGTGTCAGGGCATGCTCCTGAAGTCGCACCCGGTCTTAGATAATGTGGGAGGCACAGACAGTTAAATGCTTGGCCAAGGTCATTCAGCAGTGAGCACAACTAGGAATGGATCCAAGAGCTTCTTATTCACAATCCCATGCTTTCACCCTCAGAACGTACTTCCACCTTTAATACCCTATGTCATCGTTCTCGTTATTGCTCCCCTACCCAGCACGGGAACTGGGAGCCTTCCAACAGCAGATAGGCCTTGCAGATTTGGCCCTTTATTTAAGTTCAACACTCCAGAGCAGCTGATAAAGCCTGAGACGAGCTGGTATTAAAAGCAGGCATCGAGGCCATGTGACCAAACATCTGCTTCACAGCTGTTAACACTGCAGTTGCCCTGCTCTCTCAGGCAGCCCAAGAGGATAATGGGTAACGCGGACAGAGGCTTATGGGAGAGCTGTGGCTAGGCTCCCCTCCTATTAAGCAGCCTTTAGTACAGCCCCAAAGTGACAAGGACGGTGCAAAGATCAGGTATTCAGAACTTGTGCTTCCGTGTGTTATATACATGCTATTTGACATGCCTGTCCAGCTGCACAGTACACAGCAAAGGTCTGTAGCCAGGTCTAAGTTCATGCAGTGGGAGCAATCCGACATGAAGAACAAGAGACTGGAGCTCCACTCTGCATGAACAGCTAAATAAACCCTTTAAGTGATTCAAGCACTGCTCACCATCTCTGGGAGCAAATCATAACAGCAGCATCTTCACAGGACCCCAGTTTATATTTTAAACAGAGGCCTGACCCATATCAACCAGGGGCTTCGGCTTGAAATTGGAGCTAAAAATGGTTTTAAAAATCTTGTGCTATCAGGAGGGTGAACCATTCTGAAAGCATCTGTACAACTGCATGTCCTGTACTGTTTCTTACTTGTTGGGCACAGAAAATGTGTTCAGCCCTGAACAGGATAAGAGTTAAGATAGCCACAACCTCAGAGGAGTTAGCTTGAGCAAGTGACAGAATGGATGGCTCACACTGGCTTGTGGTCGGGGCCTGCCGATGGAAGTGGTTTGCAGGTCTCTAACAGGATGTCTCAGAGATACTGATTACAGGAAATGCTGCAGAGACTTAGGTCTAACAGGGAGCACAGTCCCTACCTGAGACCCCAGCCTACCCCGAAAATGCTGATGTCGCATGTCTGCCTGTGCACTCAGCAGCTACTGCCTCCCCGGTCTTCAGTCATGCCTGATCACTTGGGCTTCTCAGGCAGGACTCCTTACCACACTCAAGTCTCTGCCTGGGCACTGTTTTATTTCTCCAACATAAATTGAGGCACACACATCAAAAAGAGAAGGCTGTCTGCTTAACTGGGCCTTATTCCTAGAATGCAGAAACACACACCCGTTCCCACCCCTTGTACCAATAACTGGGGACACTTACCTTCCTCACACAACTCCTCCACCAAGTTTCTTCAGACTTTTTTAGGGGGTCACAGACCTCTTCTCCTACCTGGTTCTGATCATTATGCTGGGTTGGTTAGCCCTAGGCTCCTTGACTCCTAGTGAGCCAGTCCACCCTGTAACAGCTAGTCAGAGGGCTCATAGGACACCTGCTGAACTGATTAACTATTTCCATGACCACTATTTCCATGAATTATTTCCATGACCACTTTTCCCCAGGGACCACCACACTGATGTGTGGTGGTCCCTGGGGAAAAGTGGTCATGGAAATAGTAATGATACCTCCTGGGAAAAAACATCCCCAAACTTTATGAAACTTCATACCTGCATCGGGATCCAAACTCTGAGCCTTAGGCTCATCCCTGCAGTTGAATGGAGATTGCCCTCAGTAAAATGCAACCAGTGCTAAACTAAAAAGGAACATGTAAGTCTCCCAGCCCAATGTTTTCTGCTACTGTATTCCTAGTTGCAACAACCTTCTCTGTCGAATGCCAGCAAAAACTCCTGAAGTCAAAAGAGAAATCATCAGACACCTGGGCTAATTGTATGCCTAGATTCTGGGTTCCTTGTTTCACTGACCATACAGGCTCCCTAGAATTGGGAGATGGGTGCATGTCTCCTTTGGCTTGTAACCTAGTGTTGAAAAACACTGATTTCCATCCCTGTCCCTTCTCTCCCCTCCCCCAACCCATGAAATTGCATTTAAAATGATGAGACTTTTCAGAAAATGCATACTGGATTCCTTCTATTTGCCTTCTAGCTTTCAAGTTTTTAGGATATACATTCACAAGCTTTTCCCTATACCCAAGAAGGTTAGAAACGTAGCTTAAAAAGCCATATTTCACCTAATCATATGACCCCAGGGGCTGAAACTGCCAGGGAAAAACACCGAACAGCCTGTGGCTTGCAATAACATTGCCTGCATTGGCAGCGAGGACTCCTAGCTGCCATGAGGCTTTAGGCATGCCCTGCTCAGCAGGGGATGGAAAAATCAACCACAAGCTGTTGACTGCCTCTATTCGTTGTTACAATACTGAGAGTATAAATTACAAGCACTTGACACTGGGTGGGATTTTGCACTCAGCCAGGCCCTTGTCCTAAAGGACATTCCCTCTCAGCTGGGAGCACAAGGCTGCATGTATGTGTGTTAGGCGTGTGCAAGTCGGCAGCAATCTGATCCGGCATCGGATCCGGCCACTTCAGATGCCAGGGATCTGATCTGGAGCTCCAGATCGGCTTCCCGCTTAGATCCGGCCGAAGCGGCTTCAAAGCTTTGGAGCTGCCTCGGAGATCTGGCCATAGGGTATAATGGGGACTCAATCAAATATCTATAACTTTGTTGCTCTTTGTCTAATTTGGATGAAACTTGCAGGGATCCTGCCAAGCTTCAAGAAGATCAGTGCAGAGATTTGGGGGAAACTGCACCCCAAATTCTTGAAAGCAAAACTTGTGTCACGTCTACCTGTTACAACACAGGGGGGGTGAAAACTGCAGAGGTGGTCACCCCTGCTGAGGCCATGAAGCCTACCAAGTTTCAAGGTGATAGGTGCATGGGTTCGGGGGGGAACTGCACTCCAAATTCTTGAAAGCAAAACTTATGTCATGAGGGGGGTGAAAACTGCAGGGATGGTGGTCCCTGGCAAGGCCACAAAGCCTGCCAAGTTTCAAGAAGATTGGTGCAGGGGTTTGGGGGGAACTGCACCTCAAGCTGCTGACAGGCAAAACTCGTGACATAGATGACTCTGTGTGTGTTAAGGTGCAGCGGGCTGAAAACTGCAGACCTAATGTGTGTGTGCGGGAGTATATGTTTGTTTTTGGTCTCCCACCCAATGTGGTCAGGACCCAACCATATTAGAATACCATTGAAAAATTATGCTGGAGCTTAAATGACTCAATCCATAATACAATAACAACATTGGGTAGGATGTGGTTACAACACAATTGTCCACCCCATAGCTAAAACATGCTCCCACTCTGTTGCATACATGGGAACTAAGCCTACTGTAGCTGTGGTCCTGATACTTAACTCCACTAGGGATTTTGCACTTATGTTTTATTCCTCTTGTAACTAGACCCAACATTGAAATGACTCTCTGGAAAGCTAGAAGCTGTCTATCTAACTGGATTTGGAGACCCCTATGTTGGCTTGCCCAAATGTCATTTGAATCTCATTTTGCCACATTTACTTTTGAACTATTCTATGGCTTTTGAGCCTGCCAGATTAGAGCAGGTGGGGCCTTAGCATCTGCTGGCTGGTGTCTGCATGCCAGCCACTCAGCTGGGTCTAACTGTCCTCACATTGCTAGCCCTGCTTTACCTGTATCATTGGCAGTAAGTACATGTAAGGAAGTTGGCTTAGCATATAACAGATTTCCCTTGACGACTCCCATTTTTGACCATTGTATCCTGGTATGATCAGGGTCCAATAACATTGTTATTAAATGGTCAGCAACTACTATTATCATCACTGACATTTTTAACACCTAGAAGCTGAGATCATGGCTCCATTGTGCCAGGCACCATGCATACACATAGTAAGAGCCAGGGTCTGCCTAGCAAGGTTTATGATCGCCATAGGCAAGTTCGGGAAAGAGTGGGTGCTCAGAAATCTTCCTGGCTCTGGTTTCTGAGGTGGAACTCAGAGATTCAGAGTTTTTTTTCCTGCATTCCTCAGGAAATCAGTGGTAGAGCCAAGAACTGATCCTACATCACTTGGCTCCTAACCCCTTAACCATAGGGCAGTACTCTTTCTCTAGCTAGCTTTGCTTTTACTGGCTAGATACAAGCACCAATGCAGCTGGGTTATGATGGATATGGGGGTATAGCATAGGTGACTGGTGCCGCCTTAGTCGGGGCAGGGCACGTGCCCCCCCTGTGACCAGTCACACCAACTGGGGGTGGGTTCCCCCTGCGGCTGATCCCACTGACTGGGATGGGGGGCCACAGATGATCCTGTGGACTGGGAGGGGGGGCCCCCAGGTGATCCCATGATGGCCAGTCACTGCAGCTGATCACTGCACTCGCTGCAGCCACTTCCGGGAGTGGATGCGGCCACTTCTGGGAGCAAGTGTCTGCCGATCACTGCAGCCACTCCCAGAAGCGGCTGCAGGCACTCCCGAAAGCAGCTGCAGTGAGTGCAGTGATCAGCCAGTGCTTGCAGGAGGGGCACCAGTGCTCCTGCCTGCCCCCCCTGCCCATCACCTAAGCGGTACACCGGCGCTCTCAGGGAGTGTACGTGCACCCCCATGCGCCCCCTACACGTCGCCACTGGGGTATAGGTTGTAGTTGTGTTGGTTTAAGGACATAGGCAGACAAGGTTCTTCAGGTAAATCTGATATCTTTTATTAGACCAACTCAAATAGTTGGAAAAAATTCTTCTTAGCAAGCTTTTGGGTATAAATACCCTTCATCGGGCTGAGGAAGCATCTGCAGTTGGTGTGTGCGCTCTTCCTGGATGGAAGAAATAGTAAAGAAGCCAGAAGCTGGTATGCATGCAAGAAAGGCAGTCAGTGAAAATGAATATGGGGATATTTGGGGGTGCCAGCTAGTGTAAAAAGCCTGGGAGAGATCATTTCAAGGTGACATCATTTAGCAACAATGCTTAAGAAATGGGTCCTAACTAGCAGTGAAGAGCCCTGGCCCCAGGCAGATGGAGGCCGGCTCTTATCTTGTTTGTCAGATAGCAGGCAAAGGGGAAGATCTTCATAGCAGGTTGGTTGTTAACAGTGAAACAAACAACCAGTGACAAGCCTCCAGCTGAACAGCTTGTGGATGAAGTACCTGTTGGAGCTGGTAATGAGGGCTTTTCACTCATTAGGGCTCTACCACCTGCCACA